TCACCTGTGTTAGTCAAGAAGAATAAAAAAACTGTGTCTTCTTTACACATTGCATGTATACCGAAAAAAAATATTATGTGTTACTGTGGCGCTTATTTGTTCCGGATGAAGAGAAGAATAGGTAAGCCAGTTCTATATTCTTTCCAGTTCAGAAATTTTTCAAACGTTGCAGGCGCAAGAATAGCCCACAACGTTTTTCTGATGATTTTGAGTTCAACCGCCTAGCGATCATTTTTCCATAAACAAAACCAGTTTTTATTTTCTTTCTCTTCACTCCGGCAGTTTCATGTATTCCTACTCTCTATTAATGAATGCACCAGCTTCGAGCATCTTTTTAGTAAATCCCAGCTCGATAAGTTAAGAAACCGATTTATGCGGTCTCTTCAATCCGCCATCGATCCACTTGACCCACGCGGTAGTTCATGATGAGTATTGGTTACTTTCAAAAACCTCAAGTTGTCATTATTACCTTCAGTTTTATATTGCTTTAATAATTTTACAACGCACAACATTTTATATCTATATTCCCGTCCTATGTTCGTTCTTTCCTTTATTTATTATCGGAAACCGTCTACTCATCCAACAGTATTCGATCTAAAGTGATGGAATAACTGTGAATGACGAAATTCCCATGTTTGACCTAGCACTGGCTGTACCATTCAGCGTGTACTACCTTTTCAACATTGCATACCCAGAGGAGATTTGCACTTCGTACCTTGGAGTTTATGCAAAGCCAATGAGCTCATTTGTGCTTTTGAAATCATTTGGTTTGTATCTTTGTTCCTTTGTATACTGCATCTGACGAACATAAATGTCAGCAATGCAGGGCTGCCAACATGGAAAGTCAGAATTTCACTTGCGGACGCCTGAAATTTCCCTACTTCGGCCGAAATTTCTCTCGCTCGCCCAAATAATTATATAATACTAAATATTCGTTGTTTTCTGCATCACTTCCATTTTTGCGATGAGAGATACATTATGTAACCTTTACGCCTCGCATGTTTCGCAAAAATGAGCTTATCGAGCCAAAATGGAGGTCAAACAAATCTGGCGAGGGGAAGTGTTACCGGGAGATTCAAACTGACAAATGAAACCCCATCTTCGCCTTAGATGTTATGCACGTCATCGAAACATGGTACTGCTTTAATACCTTCTTTAGCGCTTTTTATATTAGTCGGTGCAAAACAAAAGGTGTAACACAAGCTAGAGTTCTTGAACTCGAACGCAGGGAACACGACACTTGGTAGGCAGCATTGGGTGTACGGCACTTCACGAAATATTATCCGCCACAGTAAGTCTGCATCTTGCGTGGCGTCTGTATCTCCAGACATCGCAGTATTTCTTGTTGCACTCGAGCTTTCCTTTCCGAGAAGGCACAGCGGCGCTCTTTGAAGCTTCAAGTTGACGGGTCCCTTAATCCATTGTTTTCACGGCGGCGATGAAAACTGATTTAGCCGAAAAAGTTCTTCGAATGCTCCTCATTTCTTGCTGCCAGATGGTCACAAAGCAAACCGCCGAATGAATGGAGGGAATAACCGAAATGTATTTAAAGCCACTCAAATTTGATGTTACCTCGGGAAAAAATCATAACTGACATATTCGCGACTCATATTTCTGATCTTCGCCGTCGTGAAGCAGATACAGGGAGCATTTCTTAAAGTATATAGCACATCCCAAGGTAAAATCGAGACAATGTTATAAAAAGATTATTATATTTTTATTTTAAACTAAACGAACTAAATATTCCAAATCTCATTTCTTAGCAAAGCAAATCTGGCGAGGGGGCGCCGCCACCAAAGAAACATCGCGGCTGGGAGCAGGTCGCGTCGGCTCGGCCGGGCCGCCTGAACGGGTGGCGCATTCAATTTAATAGATTTTCTTTTGTTTAATGCCCTATCTTATATGTATTTGAACTGTGACGTTTAAGTGTCGCCGGTGCACATAACCTTGCAGAGCATAGTTTTGTTTTCACAGTGCTTTTTGTTCTTTTCATGTCAAATTTTGTTTCGGAGATTTCGTTCAAAATCGAAACTATGGGCTCCGTAGAGGCGGTAGTAGACTCTAATCAGTTTTGAGCAGCCAAGGAAAGCGGCGATGACTACAGAATTATTCCAACTAAATTAATTTTTATCTAACTCGCATGCCTCAATCATGCGACTTATCTGTCCGCGAAATCGAGTTTTTGTGCGTATCCGTGTTTAAGAAACAGCTCCAGTCGTCTGCTCGGTCAGCACATGCTGCAGAAAATTACGAGAATTAAGCAAGCGCTTCTTGAGCCAAGGAGCATGTTAATCCGCTGGCGCCTCACTAAGCAGCTGATAATCGTAATTTAATTCAGGTTTTAGTATCAGTCGAGAAGTCATTTTGACGAATATGAAGGTTGTCTCCATTATAACTCAGGATGTGCTACGTACTTTAAGAAATGCTTCCTGTATCTGCCTCACGTCAGACTTACTGCACCGGTGACAAGTATTGGTTCAAAGATACTCATAATGTTCATTCAAAATAGCAAGGCTTTTCCTTCTTTTCTAGTTCTTACAAAACAAAAAGATATAACACCTCCAACGACTGCTGTTGCAGCTTTTAATCCAGTATAGGCATATATTGTCTGAACATAAACATTTTCAGTATCCCGAAGATGTGGAGGCCTTGCTAAAAAAGGTTTCATTAGGTAAATGTTGTTACATGATAATAGCAGTTGGTCCATTCCAAGATGGGCAAATTTCTTAGCGAAAAGTCCGTTAACTAATTGAAGGGCAATTTATCAGTACAAAACGAGCGAAAAAAGAAAGCAGTGATCTATTTTACAGCACTAAATGTTGTTTCCTATATAGAAATCTTCATTACAATTGTTGATTGTGCTCATGTATTATTTGTTACTCTATAAAAAATTATAGTTGAGAACCGGCAGATATTCCCTTTATTTATTTCAATTTTACGACTCACGCAATTGTGTAATTGGGTGAATATCTGTTCGGTCCTTAATCTGCTGCGAAATCGGTAAAAAAGTGTCAGTATGAATTTAGCACTTCATTTGGGGGAGTTTTATTAACCTACAAGATTGAGTGTCAGGCTACTTGGGCACATTAAACAAATCAGTGCTTCAAAAGCTCACATAAGATTAAGAGCGATGAACCATTTACCCAATTACACATTTTCATGACATTTATTATTGTCTAATTATTCTATGCTGGAATTATAGTCAAATGGTAAAGTCAAACACTACTTCCTACATGTGATGATACAGATGTTACGTTGGGATTCACCCTGATCGAGGGATCCAAAGAGGAAAAACAAAAAAATATATATAAACAAAGGTTCTTAAGTTAATTGCCCACATGTGAAAATTTGATTGGAAATGCAAATAAATATAATATCGCTTTCTTTAATTTGACAGGACGGGTCACGCAAATTAATAATGCATCGGATGGTGCAAGACCAGCCGACCTCGCAGAAATCTAAATTGTCTGTGCGTGACTGATTATTTTATTCACTTTTCGCAGCTCTTTAAGCCTGTTCAACAGTCCAAAACACAACAGCCCCCAAATACTCGGCCGTGCTTTTTACACTGCATAGTTTAGGCTGTTGAAATTAATCGTGCGCTTCAGTACCATGGTATTGTACATTTTACAGCCGCATTTCATGGTGGGTGACAGTAATATTCCTAAAATATCAATATAAAAATGGATAATAAGCAGTGTTGTAGGCGTTACCGAAAAAAAGTAACAAAATACGTTACCCGTCACTTCCACGTAATAGTAACACGTTACCATCCTACGTTATTTCAACCTAAAAGGAACGCGTTACCGTTACCGTTACTGATAAAAGGTAACGCATGTTACTTTGGCGCAACTTTTTTCATTATGAATTATCTGTCTTCGCTGTTTCGAGGTTACGGGTATGCATACGCGCCATATTTTAAGAAATATGTCCATGCAGACATTGAACATAGTTACTTTATCTTTCTTACGGTTTCACTTAAATACTTACAAAAAAACGCAACGAAAAACGCAAAAAACTCAAAAGTTAACTTGGCTTGGCGCCTAGAAACACGAGAAAAATTTGTATAACTTTTTTTTTAAGACTTTGGAAGAAGAAGTAACTTAACTCCGTTACCCGTTGCTCGAGATATGTAACGTGAATGCGTTAGCCGTTACGGTTCTGAAAAAGTAACGAATATCTACACGTTACCGATAAAAATGTGATGCGTTACTTGTAACCGCGTTACAGTGCCGTAAACATGACCGTGCACTGTAAATCTGGTTTACGGTCAATTTCAACACCTAGTGACTGTAGATTTCGACGGTCACCGTTTTTAACTTCGTGTAAAAGAGATTTACAGTGCACCATTATTTTTACGACGCAATAGTGGCAGCATCAGCTGCTGGTTTTTGACCGTGAACTCTACGTTCCAATTTTTACAGTCATTGTGGATGGTATTTCTAACAAGATTTGCTTTACTGGACGGACAAAGATGCAGCTGTCCGTTATTTGTTTGAGAGCTTGTACCGCGCTTGAAATGAGGCCTACCTTCTGGCAAATCTGCAGAATAGCCAATTGGAGGTCAAGCTCATTGCCGGACCCGTCCTCCCGCTTGTCAAAATGCTCTTGGTCGTCACCGCCACTGGGCATTACAAAGATGAGCGAGCCTACATAGATAGCCAATACCGGACACCGGGGACTTTCGGTATGGTGCATGCCAGGCAATACCCGCTGACTCCGTTTTGACAGTGAAAGTCAGAAACTTCATCAGCATTAATAGCACAGCTGCAGTAGAATGGTCGGTTCGCAGGTTGTAAAACATGCGTTGTATTGCTTCCATAAAGTGTCCTATCTTGTCGCTGCAATTAGTGGTGACACATCGTAATAATGTGCATTGCTTATTTGTGTCTGCACTTAATACAAAGCGCAACCTATGTTGTGATATGCAGAAACTACATGTACTAAAAAAGTTAACAACGTGGGGTAGAAGTTGAAATTGTGAAGGCCGCACTACTTACTTCTTTCTCCTGTTCCCAAAACGACAACCACGTCACAGGTTCCGTAATCCGAATGAACGAACTGAAATTTAGTGGCCGCTGCCGTCGAACAAACATAATAGACATATATTAGGAACGGCAATCGTCGCAGTCTCTGATAGCTTAAGAAAGGCAGGGTGTGGCTTATTCTGTTCAAGCTTCTGCTTCCTCAACGTTCTTGTCTGCTAATGCCGCGATTTGATTGGCTCAGGGCAAATAATAAGTAGATACCTGGGTCGTGCCGCACCCCGCGTTTCTTAAAGATGTCACGTACTGTAAGCAAATAGTTAAAAAAAACTATCTTAAACTTTTTTTTAGAAGTCGCATTTTTAGCAAGTTTGGTCTCATAAGTTTTTAAATATCCTCATAGATGCTGTCAAATAGTTGCACTCATAACTGAAATATTTTTTTTTTTCAGACAAAAATATTATTTCCGTCAAGCTGGCACCATCTCAAGGCTTGTCCAAACAGGCGTTTGAGGCGACAATCACCAAAGTTTCATTGTTTCATCTGCGTTCGCTGTAGGCCATGTACCATACACATCGGGTACGGACACAAACGTCCACATCCTTCAGTTCGCGGGACCAACTTGGCCAAGCAGCGTAACCCAAAATATAGTTCATTTTCATTTTATTTTTTTCCTTCGTGGTACAAATGGCTTCTGCAGCAGGTTTTGCTGTTCCGTTCCCACAACAGCACTCTGGACCCTCTGACGCGTTGCCAGACAATTTTGTGGTCGTGTTTGCAATATTTCTAGGCGTAAATCTGATATGTATTGTAAAGACTTTACTCTTTACATTGTCTTTCGAGAAATAGTAATACTGTTACAGTTACAAGTTATTTTTCATTAATCGGTATTGAGTGACAGTTGCAAGTTACTAAACACGAAACTAGTTACCGGTAACGCATTACTAGTGACTAGTTACTGCCCAATACTGATTTATACAAATGTTAAAAATGCGAAAGCATTAACTGTCCCATGGAGCGAAGCCGACGTCATCTGATGTCTCTAGCAGCGAAAAACAGCACCTGAATGCGCACTGGATGAGCGAAACGGCACCAAAATAACCATTGGCTGAGAGGAACGGCACGTGAATTCATATTGGCGGCAAAGCGGAAGCGCCTCAGAAAAAATAAAACACAAAGATAAGCATTGTAACTTAGATGCCTCGTCACTGAAGCCGTGGAGCCGGCAGGGGGCTGCCGCGCCTGCGCAGTGGGGGAACGTATGTCACCGCCGGAGTGCCGTGTGAAGAAGGGAGACGTGGCGCGTTGCTTGTAGGAATACGCTGCGTGTATGAATGCTTTAGCATTCCTACAGGTAAGCAGTCTTAAGTGTCTCTGCTGAATTTGTTAGCGCCTTTAGCACGTTCATACTACAATCCTAACTGTATTAAGGTAATATTAATATTGAATCAAGCATTAATTATATTTTGTCCTTAGGCAGCTTGAGCTTATTGAGAGATGTGGATTAGTTGATTGCAAATATTACGTAAGTTTTGTACCCCTGCCTAACGGAAAAGCTAATATATCGTCAATAAATGATATTATGGGATTGAATCACCTACCGATCCCGAGTGAAGATATGAATATCGCAAGCTGATTTCCTAGGCATATAAAGTGATTCAATGAAAATTATATTAATTTTGCAATGTGACCTGGGTATAATGATAGAATTCAGTCCCTGCATGTGTTAGCATCGCTTACATAATTGTAAGTGACACCTGTCAAGCCGTGTTCGCATTGAGTACGTCTACATGATTTTTATTCTGATCTGTTTTGCTGTGTCCAATCACTGCGTTTCTCGCCATTTTGTCAAAGAATTTCTGTATAATAATACGGATTCCTACAGCAATAATTACGTGACTCAATCTTTTCGACTTAATAAAATAGCATTTTCTGCAGACGTCTTAAGGGGTGTCCAAACAGGACACTACAAAACGCACGACTCCGACAAATCGTGAAGATTGAAGCGGACGCTTCTTTTTTTACGATTTGTCGGAGTCCTAAAAATTTTTGCAGGAGTCGTGAAAATTTTCACGATCACGACTTCTCTTTTTCCCTCCTCCACTTTTTCTGACGTCGGTGCTGGTCAGATTTGACGTCACACGCCACCTGCGTCTGGCTCACCTCGCCAACGCCCTCACGTACCGCCGTCGCCTCGGCTCGAAGGCCAAGGAGATCCGGCTTCGGGTGGATTTGGGACATTCCTGCGTCGAAGGGTGCGCTTCGGCCGCCTGGCTCAGCTTTCTTTGTCAGAATCTACGTTTGTAGCTCGAAAAAAAAAATAAAGTGCAGTGTGCAACAGTGAGACTTTTAGTTGTATGTAGAAACACCGAGAACTTAAGAATATATCATTTATTTCATTAAACTCCAAACCAACCAGGTTTGCTTGTCTACACGAAGTACGTTAGGAACAAGAGCCGCGGGAATCCAATCCAATCCACAGAACTGCTGGAAGAGTTCTGTGGATTTGACGGAGGGAAGTTTCCCCCCGGCTGCTTTGACGGAGCGAAATTTTCCCCCGACGGCCGGAAGCGGAGCGTGGCACGATTTGCCGGAGTCGTGAGTTTTCTAATATCCTGTTTGGACAGGCCTTTATACGCATACCTCCTCCTATTCCTTACCGATTATTATGGGGTGTAATATTTTGCCCAGTAATAAAGTGTTTTCCAGACCAGTTGCTCTGTGGAGTTTTTTTTTTTTTTTTTTTTAGCTAATAAGACAAGCTTGTATTGTTACCAGACTTGTACCGTACGCATCAACGCACGTATCAAAATAATCAACTAATTACAAAATTACTCCAAAAAGTAATCGATTACAAGTAATTTCATTACTTGTAATCGATTACTTTTTGGAGTAATTTTGTAATTAGTTGATTATTTTTATTAGGCAGTAATCACAAGAGTAATCTGATTACTTTTTGGAGTAATAAATTTACTCGTAACCGTTACAATCTGTCCACGGGACCCCCCCCCCCCCCCCCTGGCACACGCCTTTTTTTTTTATGAAATGACAAAAATAAAATTTGATTTTTTTTTTTTCTTTTCGAGCGGAAAAAAGAGATTTTTGCGGAGCTGTAGGAAACGAGGTTAATCTCTTTCTATGCACAGTTTCTGTGGAATGTCCGTTTTTTTTTCCCGCTGGGACTGGCTGTGGGAAGCCCCAGGGAAGCCACAGTGCGTGACAAAGGCAATTCAGGGCGACTTTTGAGGAAGCAGAATGTAGCTTTGTGAGTCCTTCATTCAAACTAGCCCCCTCAGGCACACACACACAGAAATAAAAAAATAAAAAACCCTGCTTCGGGTACCTACTCGCAGCCCGTAGGAGAACCAGAACCGAAGAATGCCTAAAGCGGATGCAAAATATAACAAAGGCAGTTGAAATATTTCCCCATTTCCCCTACGTGGTCTTTGTGACCAGCAATGTTTCGAGTTGAGAAATGATCGGGGCGATCTCTTCCGCTAGTGGATACTACACATGATCTGTTTCAAATCCTGGAGCTGCTGCTCTTTTGTATAACATGCGAGCTCATCTACATGTGAATAATAAAATGAGCGACGCAAACTTTGAGCGACAACCTTTGGTCAAGCTTAACAAGATCTAGAACCCCCTCCGTCCCCTTCCCCTCACACACACACACACACTGGCGAACGCCCAAATCATGAAACGTCTTCAAACGAATTCTGTGCTTGTGTCCGCATTGTGAAGGTGCAACGACCACGAAGAGGGAGCCATTTTTTCTTCTTCAATACTTGTGCGAATGTGAAATATAGGTTGGAAGTAGTTCATTATTATGAGCGCTAAAGATGTGTCTTCACACAACAAAGTAATCGGAAAAGTAACGATTACTTCTTTAAGTAATGTCCAATTACTTTTGCCGTCGAGTAATCAAGTAATCTAATCGAATACTTTTTAGCCAAGAGTAATAGTAATTATAATCTATTACTTTTCTTTAGTAACGTGTACAAGACTGATTGTTACGACAGTCGATCCACGCACGTTGCCTTCGCTTCGGCGCTTCGACGCGCGTCCTCGATGGCCTTCCTTTGCGACGTCACGAGAAGAGCGCTACGGCCTTAGCTTCTATGGGGTGTTGGTCGGCGCCTAGGCCCGGGGTGCCGGCGACTCGTGCCACTTGACAGCTCATGCAACCGCCGACCGGTCGGTTTTTAGTTTTCTTTTCGGAACAAAAGAAAAATATAGAAATGAAAATAAAAAATAAATTACATTCTATATTCATTATGCGCCGAAGGTGTTTTATAGAAATGACTGTTATATTAAATAGTTTTCTATTTTAATTTTTACTTCAGTGAGAGCGCTCCACCACCTAAGCGCCGCTGTCGGTAGCGATGCTATTGACAACGCCGCCAATGGCGGCGACGTTAATGTGAACGCCGCGAAAATCGGACTTGGACCGGGAGTCGGTAAAGCCCTGACTCCTAATGCCACTCCAGGGGCATTAGGGGTCGGCAGGAGAGCGCGCATCGAGGAACCCTGGTGCCGTATTTCCGGTAGCTGCGGAACATATGCGGTTTTCGGTATATTTCCTTGTCTTTTTCGCACATCATTCTTTCATCCTTGGATTGAAAAAAACTTTTGACGATGTTATAAAATATCATTTCTGATACACAGTACGTACATTTGATGTTGCAGATGCCGCAAAACCTTCGATCGAGTGAAATCCAGTTCCCAGGATTACCTCATAGATGGCGCCAGCGCGCCAGTGTGTTCTCTCGTCGTAAGAAATTACAAGAACTCGGTCCTAAGCAGACGCATGTGTGTGAACGGGACCTTACGCGGAACGCAAAACCGCAATAGATACTGTGCTGTGCAAATCTACACTCTCAGAAATAGAAGGGTATATTCTTACGCCCCTTGTCAGATATACGACACCCCAAAACTTCAGTTCGATGTAGAGCGCGCTAACGTCGAGCCGTCGTTCCCAACTTTAACAGGCGGCTTGATAGCCGAGTGCAGTGTTGGATGTAACGCGTTACTAGTAACGACGTTACTGGTAACGCGTTACATTTTTCGCTAACTTAGTAACGTACTCGTTAGTATTCTGAATGACTAACGAGTAAAGTATTTCCGTTACTTTTTTACAGTATCGGCTGTCAAATTTCGTTACTCGTTACTCGTTACTTTTGACCAAAGCTGGTGAAATCCTGCACAACCTTATCTCAAAATTCTGCACCAGCTTATCGCTGCACGGAACCAGCATCCGTCACAGTAAAGTTAAAAAAAAAAAAAAAATCACTTCTCGAAGGCGAAAAAAACCTTTGGCTACCAGCTAAATCCGTTCATCCTCCTTTTTCTTTTTTTTTTTCATAGTGTCATCACCCACAAGGCTTGAACGAACGACTGCGTTACAGCCTCCTCCCCTCCCTCCTCTCCCCCCCCCCCTCCCTGCTTTGTGCAGCAGAAGTGGACAGCGGGGGGGGGGGGGGGGGGGGGGAGCCGTGGAGAGACATCCGTTTACAACATTTCTCTAGTTTCAAGAAAAGAAACATCCTTTGTGGAATATTTTTACCCTCGCTCTCCCCCTCGCTGCCTGAAAGTTCCTGACCCACTTTTGTACACAGAAGAATCTTTCGCTTGATTAATCTTTAATTCCCTAAGGTCATGATAAAAAAAATAAAAAAAGAAGTTTTAAACCTGGAAAGAAATATTTTACAAACACGAAACCTTTTTTACACAGAAAAACTAAGAGCTACTGCTGGTAAGAGGCAGCAAGTTAGAGTGCCTTCATGTGCGCTTCGCACATGAAGCGCACATGAAGGCTCCCTACAGCAAGTGATTATATCCAATGTGCTGGTAACCGGTGTCCTGTTCCAGATAGTGAAGTAAATCAGTCTCTGGTAATAGTATGAACCGGACTGTAAAACCGGCGTATAGATGAGGGGTGTTGGTTGGCTGGTTGTGTTGCAGCAGTCCTCGTTCGCATGCTGTAGTTTATAAAAGCCGATTGACTAACATCTCCGACTCATTGTGCGCGTGAGATGGGCATGAATAACGAAAGTCCGTCGCCATGGACAGCAGGTCTGAATGAAATGTATCAACTAAAGGAGACAGAATCAGGCAATTTACAGTTGCAATGCCTAATCTGCATGCCGAAAATTAAGCTGCTTCGCGCATCAATACACTATGAAACCACTCTGTAAATTTTTATCTTTATCCAAGCTTGTTAAGGAGGCTTATCATACATCTCTGCCAAACATATGTACTCGAACAGAAAAGTAACGTAAACGTAACGTAAAAGTAACGTGCGTTATTTTTGAAAGGTAACGGTAACGGTATATCGTTACGTTTGTAAAAGAGTAACGTAGCTCGATAACGCGTTACTTTTTACCAAACTAACGAGTAACGATATTTCGTTACTTTTTTTCGGTAACGGGCACAACACTGGCCGAGTGGTACAACTCATTGAAATAGCTAATTCACGTGTTATTGACTACAAAAAATGTCAGCGCGGTTTTCTTGGTATTGCTGCAAAACCTCAGTGTTTCGTTTATGTGGTCTTTGATACGTATTTTAGCTGTTTAATGTAGTATATCTCACCGTTCTCAAGCACCTCGTAAAGTTTGAGGCCGTCTGTTCGAAGTCAGTGCTCTGTGCGTCGAAATGAAGTTTTGGGTTGTCTTATATAGGACAAGGGGTGTAAGAATATACCGTTTTTTTTTTTTTTTTTTTTTTTTTTTGAGAGTGTAGGGTAGGATATCTAGATTTTAAATAAAGTAAGAAATTCCGGCTTACATGTGTCACCTCCCTCCGCATCGCCTATTTGGATGGTGTCGCCGCCTGCGCTGCCGTCTGAAGGAGCCAGCGTGACACGCACGGTCTTTTTTATCCTAAATTATAAAGTCAGTTCCTTGTAATCAGGCGAAACAAAGAAGGGTAGCCAAGGGCAAGGGTATACTTACAAAGAGTTCGTCTGAGGGTCCCTGTACTTCATTGTGCTCTTCGTGGTCTTGGTTTCTTCGTTTTTCTCGGACATTTGTATGGAAACACATTTCCCGGTGCCACCGAGGGCATCATCATTTTCGTAGGAGCGGTACATGAGGTAAAATTTGTCCTGCAGAGTCACAGTCTGGAAAAAAAGATGTTGAAAACAATCACTGCCTTGAGCTTGCCGAATGCGGTATCTATACTTCCTCCAACAATCTAAATATTCTACAGCGTCTGCTCTTCTGCAGTGCACTTAGGAGGGCAAATCACTGCAATTTATGAACGACTAAACTGATAATATGTTCAAATCTAAACAAGAAAACTGCCCGCGCTGTGGCGCTGAGCACAACGCTTTACCTGTCTAAATGCCACAACTCAAACCGTTATATTTTTTTAAGCTTGAAATGTTTTTTAGCGGTACCCGCCATTTCTAAATTGTGTCTGTTCGTCCGTCCGTCCGTCTGTCTGTGCCCTTTCCGCCAAATTTTGCGGGAAAGGTGTCGTCACATGACTTTACCTCACGTCACGTGACCTATACTCCTTGGGGAAATTGACAGCACAACACCTATCTCTCAACTAAGTTTTTCCGCTACATTTAGCGGGAAAATTCACGTATTGTGGCTAAAACATCTGTTCAGTTTCACCTCCTAAACTTAGCTGAGAACTGATATCCCCTGACTTGAACACCACCTCAGTCAGTTGATAAACAAAGCGGGAAAATCCACGTCCTGTGGCGTAGAAACCAATCCAGTTTCCCGCTAAATTTGGAGGGAAAATATAGTGATGTGACACACCGATTCCCTCACCAACTCCGTATACACATCATGAATAGACCGATCTCACTAAGCGTTCAGCGCATGCGTGACGCCGCCATAACTTTAGTTTACACGAGGCAGACGGCAGTGCATGCGAGGGCTCGTGCCATCTTGTGCTCCAGACGCGCAGAGCCCTAGCGGGGTTGTCGCACGTGCAGAAAGACTAAGGTTCCCTCGATGCTTGGCGGAAGCGATGGCGTAGTCTAACTGGCTGGTAAGGTCGCTCTAATATAGGACCTCAAAAATGAAGTCGCTGCCAATGCAAAAAAAAAAAGAAAAAGGTCTCTCGTGCCGGAACATACGCAATCTTGAGCTTCAGAGACATGGGCCAAACGGGCCCCGCCACTGGACTCTGTCGTCTGCATCGCCGTCCGCCGTTGACCATGGCAAGAGTTTGGCCCCATATTGTTTTACAAAAAGGGAGTTGCAAATCGTAATTTCACAATGTAAAATTCATCTGTGAACTACACCGTTGACGACAAGTTTAGGTTGCTAACTGCAGGCGCCGATGTTTACGGCCCATTTTAGGTTGACCCTCCGCATTTTAGACACCCTATATATTGCGAGTCAAAAATGCACAAACAGGACCACTCCGACATTTTTACTATAAATTTGTTACTTATTATCTCATAACTTTTTAAGATAGAGCATTTAATTTTTTGTCCAATATTGTTCACATGGGGGGTGCCGTCTGTATATAATTTGTTGGTCTAGTAGTTTATAAAGACACTTTTTAAAGCGCTTCAAACATGTACCAAGGTCAAAAGTTTCGAAACCTCAACGTGCGAGTAAAAACAACTATCTTTGAATTAAAAAAAAATTAAAACATTAAGTGACGCATTTTAAACCCTATCGTCGTGTTTGTAAATTAAAGTCACGTTGCATTATTTTGTCTCCGTCTGAAATATAGCGCTTCGAAACAGACGCATTTGGCTACTTTGACATTTCACCCAATATTGATATTGATATTGATATCCTACCTTTTTTTGAGATTTACTGTTCAGTTTTTTCTAATATATTTTACTCAAAAGGATATATCGTCTAGATATAAATTGATGCTTTAGTTTATAAATTAAACTATCTATGGCGCTTCAAACATGTCTCAAGGTAAAAAGTTCCGCAACTTCAACCTGCATTAAGAAAACAACTTTTTTTTGTTTTTATGTAGGCGAAGCATTGTACGCAATATCACGACGTTTCCATAAAAAGGGCATGTAGCATTGTTTTATCTCCGCCTAAAATATAGCGCTTCGAAAAGCACACATTTGGCTACTTTTACACTTCGACTTCCTATTTTTTTTTATTTCGTAATGTTTAAATATATAGCATTGGAATTTTTCCTTGTATTATTAACATAAGTACCTATCATCTGCATATACATATAAATTGTTGCTCTAGATTATAAGCAAAAATATTAACAACGCTTCAAACATATCTGAAAATAAAATAAAAAAGTAGCTCAAATTGAACGTGAACGAATTGAACGTGAACGAATTTTTAAAAACAATGTTTGGTATATATATATATATATATATATATATATATATATATATATATATATATATATATATATATATATATATATATATATATATATATATATATATATATATATATATATATATATATATAGGTGATTTCATCTCAAATCGGGCAGGCTAAAAGGGTCTAATTTTTAATTTTCACGAAAAAAATATATGTTTTGGGGGTATTTCTCAAATGAAGGAGGGCGCAAACCGCATGTTCTCCCGATTTTTTGTTC